CATAAACTTACATAAGAGAAGCATGATTCGCTTTAAAATAATCTTAAAATGATAGAGTTTTCGAAGCAAAGTGATGTTTTCTTTTGTATGAACTCAAATATTCGTAAACAGGTCAAAGATTTAAATCACATTAATTTTCCATCAGTTGAGTTTGATTCTCTTCGAATTCGTTGTATTCTTTCAGCGAAAGAAGAGTTAGATTACAGTACTACTCTATTTGCTTCTGTGTGATGAATTTGAGCGACGATCTATTTAGTTTTGAATATCCTCTCGGTTCACTTTTTGTGGGAAAAGTCGAAAACGTTTTACGTTAGAATTAACACAAAAACAAAACTTGTGGACAGCTGCATACTGAATAACTAGACTGTTTTCAGGTTTAGCCTTGTCCATTAAAGCCCTCAGTTTTAAGAGCATCCCGTACTTCGGTTAGCAATAGCATTTCTTCAGGAAAATTAAGTATTGAGTTAGATCTCTTGGTATTAAGTTGATTTCTTCTCGCAGATGATTTTAGTCAGAGGTGGTGTCGTCGGTGAGGATTTCAGCATGCATCACAAAATGAGAGAACCTTTTGGTAAGGCGTTGTACATTTGGTGTTCTCCCACAAAAAGAGACGTTTTTGCGTGGTGAGAGCATGGAACTGTAATAGCCTGCCCGACAAAAGGCTGTCGCGTGTAGCAGCTTATACGGTGCTCAAATATATCATCGTCTCCTTCATGAATAGATGAAGTCGTGCAAACGAAAAAAGCCCTCTATTACCCAATTCCAATCCGTTTACAGGTCAAAGAATTAAAACTACTTTCTTTATATTTTTTCCCTTTTAAACCTCAAATGAAATTTAACGTTCTTATTTACTGTGCACTCGACATTTTTTTTATTCTTTTGAGGCTTTTCTTGCGTTTTTTCAGTGCAGCACTTTCTCAATCCAAACTTTTGAGGACAAATATTAATAACACGGATGAATAGTTTTCGGTCCTTAGCGTCTATGATTAAAATTTTATTTCCTTTTCTCGGAAAAATTGATCGCGCTTCCCTTAAAATTGATATTTGTCTCATGGAAAACCTCAAATGTTAATCATAATCAGGCATTTTACATAACAATAATTCACCACAAGACCGCCCTTAAGTTATGACAACTTTATCGTGGAGCGAACAAAGCTCCCTGCGACTCAGTGTCTTTATTCAAAATCTAATCTACCCATCCTTAAAACCCTTCAGAACCAAAAAACGTACAAAAGATAACTACCCTTACCAGGTGCTCTTAATAAAGTGATTTCATTCCTACTGTCATGGCTCAGTTGTAGATCACGTTGGTAAAGAACCCTTACTTAATAACCGAGAAACAAACCACCTATGGGGCAAATTATTCATGACAGTTTTTTAATAACTTGCATGTGATCTCTTCAGTGATACCAAATGAAATCTACTGAACGCTTGAGACTCGCCGACAGATGTTGTCTGAAAATGTGAATATTTTACTTGCTATGACGATATCGCTTCATGCAGGTTAGATTATTATTCTGCCTAAAACAAGGGGACAAATATATTTAGAATAGTTGCTCTTTTGTTCTGTTCTGCTTTCTTTGTTTGTTAATTTTGTTTTTCTTTCTCGCGGTAAAACAAGTTTTTTTCAATCGGTACAAACAGATAAGAAGTCTATGCTATGTTTTGATATACGAATCTTTACGAAAAATATATAAGCGATAGGAGTTTTATAAAATTGGTAATTGTCCAAACTAATTAATTATACATGTAAACATCTTATCGATATTCAGCGCTCGTAGGAAGAATCAGCTTATAAAAAGTTTCTAAGATTCATGCCGTTTAGGGTGCATCAATTTAAAAGCATAGAACTATTGTGGATACGTTTAAGTGATTTAAACCGGAAATACACGAATCTTCTTTATAAAACGTAACATTTTTCGGCGAAAAGTTTCAAGAACTGCTTTTTTTTTTAATCGTCATGTGGCCCATAAGAATTAATTTTTTGTGACGAAACCGTAGAAAAGCTGTGTCAAGTTTTATGTCGATCCAGCCGAGCTTTTTTCAGTCAAGTTTAAATAAGCCTCTCAACTTCTTTTTAAAATGCAAAGGTCTGCCACTGGTCATCTTATCCATCTTGTGGGATCGAAAAGTTAAAAATGTTCATGGACAGCATTGCAGAGACGTGAGTAATTACCCTCAGGTAAACCTACGCTTTAGGCTTCTTCAAAAACTATTTCCCTAAAACTTCATCCGTTTGTATTCATCTTGCTTCAAAAAGTTGGATTGCAAAATGGCAAAATATTCACGAACCTCTTGTAAAATGTATTTGTTATTTAATACTATTGCGCGAAGAGTGAGTATTGAGACGAAATAATTCATTATACCAATACTAGGAGAAGAGTTTTGTGCGAATATTTCAAGGCCTTGTTAGGTTAATAAAGATAACAAAAGAGTATTAAAATGCGCTCGTAAACTTCAAAATATTACTCTGACTATGACTAAGACATTACTGTAGGAAAATCTTACCTTGTCCTTCTGGAATTAGTGAGGTCAAAACAGTGAGAACGAAGCTTTAGAGTACAAAGAGAATGTAAAAAAATAACGCCCGTTATAATTTTAGCAAACAGCTACAATGAGTTTTTGATAAACAAAACTTAATTAGTTTCTTTGAAATATAGTTGGTTGGTGAAACTCCATTATACTTAATTCATATTAATGGTTTTTATACAGTTGCATAGACGAAGTTGTTATTTAAAAGTTTATCTATTCTGGCTTAATTATGTCCGTGCAAGTGTAACATATGACACAAAGCTACATGAAGACTGTTTATCAAATGTTTATACGCTCTCCTCGTCCGCCCACATTTGGTGGAATAGTAGAGACGACCGTCTTACCAAAAAAGCGTCAATGACCCGAAATTTTTGGAACGTTAAAGAAGGATTTAAATGATCTCGTGGGGCCAGTTTTCAAGTGGTCAAGTTTCAGAAGAAGATCACTTCCACCCTTGCGACTTGAGAGATAATGGTTGCTTAGCGTCTTTTCACGAATCTTTGCTCTACAATCTTGTTGTAAAGATACAAAAATTTCATCTCATACTCGGGACAAAGCTTTTAAGGAATGACATGAGTCGAAAAAATGCCTTTAATGTTAGGAGACTCTGGAAAAATGTGGCAGCAGTCATGTCCCTGAAATTTCTTCAGCACATACAAGATATCACACACTGCAAGACCCCCAACCCCCGCACCCGCTTCTGTAAATTTCGGTAAATTTGCTAGACACATCCAAAATTTCTTTTAATTATTGAGAATATATATATAATTATAGAGACACAAACTGCCTCTTATATCTGCAATTCACCATCCTTTACGCCTGTGTTCGAGGTCATTCTACGGCCTTGTGAGTCGTAGGTGAATCTTCCGTCTCTAACCAAGGGAGGCAACGTTGAGAAGGTTGAGAAAGTAAGGCAGGAGCAGAGACTGAAAGGATAAGGAAGCAAAAACGAAGGTCGGGAAATTGATATAGTGAACGTGTGGATTCTCGTATTTTCGGTGAAATATATTTTCTACGTTCTTTTCCTTAATAACTTTGTTCTCAGCAAGTGTTAATTTATAACTTAAGTGCAACTAACTAAAGAGCCATTACTTACATCTAGGAATCAATTTATTGATTTTTAATATAATGTAATTTAAATTGATGCTACTGACTGAAAACTCACGGAAATGATAGTTGTTACTACAATTACCCCTTTCTCCTCCTTTTATGAGGAAGAGCTTGAGAGCCTTCTAAAAAGTTACGCTAAACGTTGACAAAAACATACTAATCTAACAAGTAAATAAAGTTAAGTTTATGTCATCACCTTAGCATATATAACCACTTTTACACACTGCTTTCTGAAAAGGGAAACAGAACCTAAATGACTGAATCTCATTTTAGAATTCGTTAGTCCCCACTTAATTAATCAACATCTGGAAACACATTACTTAAAGAGGCCACATCGACAATTTGGCATCAACCCTGGGCCATTTTTTTCAGTCACTTTACAGGATTCCGCTAGAGGTGAAGCTGAACCCTTTTCAATTGACTGGGAATCCTAAAACCAAAACTAAAACAATAAAAAAATGATGTATTCCAATGATAAAAACCATAAGACACCAAACGTATCACAAAGTAGTAAAACACACTTTTCGCGAACAGTTTGCAACCGGCGCCGGTCGCGGTAAAAAAATGCAGTCTGTCTCAGGCGCAGCAAAATACGACCCAAAGGGAGGGGAAACAAGGATACTGGGTCAAACTGTAAGAATGAAAATTGAAAGTTCCTTTTGGTTTTGAGCTGACAAAGAAAAACAAATTGATTATATGATTAACCCTTACAGTCAATTGAAAAGCGTTCCTATAATGTGACACGTGAAGTCTGAAGAACCGAACTCACAATAGTTTCTTTTTAAAATACTAGCTTATTATAAATTGATGAAATCAACCAAGATACGACTATGTTCGTGATCGTCACATAGTCGATCTAACTTACAGTTCCAGCGAAAGCTATTAAAAGAATTCTGTTCCAGTGTGAGCCCTGATCAGTGGTCAGACTGAGAGCCTTTTTGGTCACACAATCTATTATAACACCAATTATTACGGCACCAGTTCGCTCTGTAGGCCTATCAGTATTCCCAGTCCAATGAATGGACGTGGTTTTGAAACAGAACACCTAAGAATGACATAATATTTGATTCCCATCCTTACTTTTGCTTTCACGTATTTCGAGAAACGAGACCGAATCATTGAGATTTATCAGTGAAACCACAAAGCGTAAGAGTTGTGCCCTCGCCACTATATTTCGGCCTTCTCTTTTTCTACTGTCCGGATCCTTCCAACGTTTGGCCAACACTTTAAAGCGCTCAGTACCTGACCTTGAATATTAAACAAAATATTATTCAATTCCGGAGTTTAAAGACTAACAACAATCAGCCTTCAAAACAGAATTAGCCTTACACGTTAGAGAAAGTGCTGCTAAGGGCATGTCACTGAAGAAACGTGATGATCACTCTACCATGTCCATACCTATTAAAAAAACATTCATTCTGCTGATTTGACCCATTGTTAAAAGATCCACCCCCTCCTCCACAAGAAAACTGTTCATTAGCTCCACCATTTCCTCCAGAGTAACCTCCACCGCCTCCAGCTCCACGGTTACCTGCACGTAAACTACCGCCACCTCCAAACCCACCCTTACCATTTCCACCCTTACCATTTCCACCCTTTCCTCCTTGAAGATATCCTTTACCTCCTCGACCAGAACCGCTCATAGCACTTTGTCCATTACTGTAGAAGCCGCCGCCGCCGCTGCCACCACCTACAATAAACGAAAACCGAGAAGCAGTTGTCTCATAAATGGCTTCTATTTGATTACTTACTTGAGAACGTTTAAACGACGATTCGCAATATTATCAACTTAGTGCGCTTCTCAATTTTTAGAAGCTTATTTAAAAATATTATTGGGTAGTCAATTGCTAGAAATTGAACAGCTTATCAGGACAAAAGAAATGTACACGAGGAATGTACACTTAGGATTTTTTAGAAAACTGATATTCTAAGAGGGTAATTTCGTGTTAACAACTGAGTTGAAAACGTAAATTAGCCTCCGAAAGCTGACGTTTCGAGCGTTAGCCCTTCGTCAATCGCTCTTGGAATGGTTTAGGTCGTATCTGGCGAAAAGAGGTCAGCGAGTCTCCATTGACGGATCTCTTTCAGAGCGCTTTAGTCTGGAGTGTGGTGTCCCACAAGGGTCATGACTGGGCCCCCTGCTCTTTCTCATCTATGTATCCAAGCTATTCAGGGTAGTTGAGGATCAACTCCCACACGTGCATTGCTATGCCGTCGACACACAGATTTATCTGAGTTTCAAACCTATTAGTAACACATCCCAGGAAGATGCAGTCCGTGCGATGGAATGTTGTATTGAGAAGATCAGGCGCTGGCTGATCCATGACAGACTCCTTCTTACTGACGATAAGACTGAGTTTATTATTATTGGAACTCGCCAGCAGCTTAACAAATTGCAGGCTATGAATATTAAAGTAGGTGGTTCAGAGAGAAAACCTAGCTACCAAGTTAAGAACCTTGGAAGCTGGCTTGATCCAAACCTGAATATGCGCCACCATATCAATAATGTATGTAAGGCAGGTTTCTTCTACTTGTATAATATTAGACGCATTAAGAAGTATTTATCGAGAGACAGCTTACTCACCCTGGTACACGCATTCATCACGAGCAGGTTAGATTAC